TGCCACTCAAGTGGCTTGCCTACCACAAAGGGTAACAAATAACAGTTTTACTTATAAAATAGTATCGCCTAGAGTTATTTTAGGGAGGAATCCCTTAACCAGGAATGTAATCTCCTATTTTCCCATCAAAAGAAGTGGAAACTTGTTTGAATGAAATGAGTTAAACGTAACATACCTATAATACCTTGAGTCTAAGCATGGCTAAACAGTGAGACAGAGAAATTAAGACTTGTCTCTCCCAATCTGCCAATTTTTATCAATAACAGTAATTTATTTTACTCAAAGCTTTTTGGGGGTTATTTGCTAAGATCCTTGCAGCCACAACTACTAAATGTGAAACTCTCGAGGGCTACACCGCACACCAGATGAGCGCTCGGTTTTATCAAGGCCAATTACGCAAAGGAAAAAGGAGCTGACTTGACAGATCGGGTTTAATGATCGGTGTCAAATGAAGCAGTTCAGCAAAGATCCTCAAAATTTGGAATCCCATTGCAGACGCTGCATCTAGCTGAATGTAACAAATCATCAGATACCCTTCCATCAGTCCAGCGGCAACAGAGGGGTCATTGTGCTTTCATTCCAATCATAATACAGTTCAGCAGAGTCTTTCATAGCTTTTAAGGATCACAGAATGCCTGACATCTGAATTAGACTCCACTCGTAATGAACTGCTTCGTTCTCAAGGAGGAATTGTGTTATTTTCTTGACAGAAAATCTACTTTTTAAACTTGAAGAGCTTAATTACGCAAGGAGATACGGACACAGGTTTCTCTGTGTTTCTTTATTGCATAGTTGCACACTAATTTAACAGTTTAAAATACAGCAGCTAGAAGTTCCTTTACATCGGGTAAAAACTGAGGGAAAAGGCCTATATCCTAGCTGAACAACAGGCATTCCCTGGTACACGCGTAGTCCGCACAGACAATAATTTCAGTAAAATATGGTTAGGCAGAAAACATCCATTAAAATACACAATGTAATAACTGCCACGGTAACAAGATGCACATTAAAAAAAAAAGCCAAGATGTGCCAAGAAATACAAGTTAAGACATTAAAAATTAAAAAGCAAAAACTATTGACTATGAAGTTGAGTGGCAAAATGGACCCTTCCTCCAAACTAAGCCGTGTAGAATTCCAGTACCCTTAAACTCTAAAAGGTCTTAATTTTTGTGAGATCAAAGCAATCCCCATTCCTATAGCTTTCAAAGCCAAAAGACACACTCCTGTCAGACTTGTGGTACAAATACCAATGCAATCCAGAAATGACAGAAGAGAAGACTGCTCAGGTACACCTGGAGGTGTGCACCCAAAGTGCACTGGTGTGAAGGTGCTGGAATGCAGGAATACGGAGCAAACACTCAAATACGCTCAGTGAAGTTGTTCCAACCATGAAGTCACCAAGAATGAGACTTCTGGTAAGCGTGATATTTAACAGAAATACCAACAGGCACTGGGAAGCCAGATCAACATGGATGCAGATCCATGCTCAAAACGCTTCTACTCCCTCTAAAATAAGCTGTCCTCAAGAGTATTTCTAGTACAGTCTTTAATTCCTGGTACTTATTTGCCGCAGGAACGCCTCTCAGTGCTGTATTAAGTAACAGAAGTGAATACTACGCAAGGACAAATACAAACATGTCCCTTTTGTATTGTACCATCTGAAAGAGGAGCCTCAAGATTCCTGTGCAGCCACCTCTCAAAGAGAGTTTAAGTTGTACAAAATCACGATAAATACTAGCTCTAGTCCAACCATCAAGTCAAACTGCTATTCCCCACACACAACTGAGAGAATAAGGCGAAAGAATTCTAACCCATCTCCTCCTTTACACGCGTGTGCAGGTACACGGAGTTATTTTTCTTTTCGCTTTTGCAAAGCCAATGCAGTCATTGTAACATAAGAGTTAAGACAAACCCAAACCCCTTTCTGTTCATTTCCAGCCTAATTTCAAGAACAATCTGCTTTGCGACTGAGATACTGTCTACCTTAGTGAGAGATGCTAGAACACTAACATGTAGATGCAAGACTCAAAAAACAGCAAAAGAACTGTAACAGAAAATCCCTGTAAAGCTTATTTATGTAGCACAGTAATATTTTTTTCCTGTGTTGACCCTGTTTCCAGATATTTGAAATTATCAGTGCTGAAATCAAAACTCATTATGTCAGTATATTTAGATATGATTTTATCTAAATATGTGTGGAGTATAGCTTATTAATGGTATGGCTGGATAATGCATTTATCCTCTAACAAAACTTCCATGACAATACTTTTAACAAGGAAATCTCTATGAGAATTTTAAGTAGATCACTGAAAAGAGAATATTCAGCATCATGTCTGATGGATGCATGGTGGTGAGCATGTCAAAGAGATTCATGCAAACAGGAGGTAAGTTTAATCAGTGGAGCAAACCTAACCCATGAGAACTTAGCTGGGTACGAGCATACTACAGCGTTATTCATCTGTAGATTAAACATTTACACCATAGTAGTTCAGGAATAAAATATGTGGTTTGTATTTGCATATGCTAGGAAAGCTCTATTAACTGAGACAAGCTCAGTGGAGCAGAGGTACACAAAAACCTGGTGAACATTACCAAGGCAACTAAGAAACTTTGAGCAATTGCATGAAGCCTTTTACAAGACCCATTTATATACAATATGGATATTGATGCAGTCTGCCTATAGCTAGCTTAGTGCTGCTGAGTCACCTGTGTTTTTAAATGTGAAGGCAACATTAAGATGTCTTTATATTACAGTTTTTCCTAACTGCTAATAACGAGTAGCAAAAATCTCCAAGACAGACAAGATAATACACCAGTTGTGAATCACTGCTGTCTCCTCGGAAAAGCATTGCAAGAACAGCATTGAATGAAAACCTCAAGCTCAGCAGTGACTGGATCTTGTACATTCAGGCAGAAAGTAAAAGAATTCTTCTCCTGTTGCCAGAACCATAGAAATCCCTTTCAAAATTATCTTGGAAATGTCATTCTCTGGCAAAACCATCACTGATGTGGTTCTGCAGACCAGAAATTAAGTAAAACATCTGGCTGATGATGCCAAAACCTATATATTTCAACTGAGAGGGTACAGTTCAACCAAGCTGGTGTAGATGCTATAGTTTTACAGAGTTTAATGAAGATGGTAAGGTTCAACTGAGCAGTAAGGGCTTGGGAGAGGTAATGACACTGAGAATATACACACTACCAAGTTGAATATACTGCATAGTAAAGATAAGTATACTACACTGGGAGAAAAGAGAGATTTTTGTACATTTACCACATAGAATCACTCTAAGGTTATGTGGCCACATTTCAAATTGTCAAGGGAAAAGGCACAACACAGCAACAGCCTGAGGTTGAGCTATTAAGGAAGCAAAGGCAGGACCTGGGCACTTAATTGGTTAAAAAACAATATTCAAAAGCCTTAGAATCATCCGGGTCACACTAAAAAGTGTTAAAGTGCATTAAACTGACACCAAGACTTTAAAAAAAGGAGTATTGATTCTCAAGCTGTGAATTTAGCGCTGACAAGCTGGTGTCCTGCCATCACTTGTGCTGAATCCCATCAGCAACCAGTGACTGCTACTGGCCAAAGCAGACAGAGTAACATCTGTTCTCCACGAGGACTCCTCAATCAATGAAGATCCCATTGTGAGTTTACAGACCTGCTCCTCATCAGAGAATCCGACCATATATCTGGTACATGAATTTCACACTGTTAAATACAGTCAAGCGTAAAAAGGCAGCGAGAAAGGTGCTTGAGAGAAAATTATGGCTAGTAATGGCATGCTTCAGAGGTAGATAATTCTTGTGGCAAATGGACCGTAACTCTGGGATAAGGCTCCACAGCTGGCAGATACACAACAATTTTGTCTGGTCCACAAAGAAAGTTCAACTACCACTTAACTTCGTTTCCATAAGGTGCGATAAATACAATCTGGTCCCCAGTTGTCATGAAGCTAATTCTAATAATTCTTTTTATAAGAAAAATACATCTTAAGACAAAACTTTGAAGGGACTGAATTGGTGCCCTATGAGTAACTGAAAAAACCACAACCCAACTTCAAAGTTTCTGAATGCTCCATTTTATCCATGTGCTTTCCTAGCACGGGATTACGTTTCAGATTTTTATTATTATTATTACTATTATTTTCCCCCAAATCCCATTGGGAGGGTCAGCTGGAGGTTATCTAATTTTGCTTTTTTTTTGATGTGATCGATTCCCTGGGATCAGTTGGACATTTTTGCCTAATTTGCTGTTCTTGCCAGTCTTGAGATACTGGTGATTTCTCTCTTCTCCTGACACGTTATTAATACAGAAAAGTAAAAGCTGCCAAAGCAAAAAGCTTCTACATTTGTTACAAGGTCTTAGAAACTCTTCTGGCTTGTGGTGTAGATAACGTGAACATTCTGCAGCATCCAGATCAAACATGGATCACGCAGTCAACAGAATGGAAAGAGGTTACATTCTGTAATTTTTTCCTTCTCCTCTTGTCATCCTAAGCACCAAGGAAAAAGGAAGAAGGTAAAGTGTCTCTGTACACATCACTAAAGATAGGTCTCGTCCCAAACCTCTGAAACAATTTCACAAAATGACCTGATCAGTATTAATACTTTTCACTTCTTCACACTTCCTGCTTGCTAACATGTTTTCAGTTGGGATTATTAATCCATGCAAGTCACTGAAAGAACATTTGAAGAGACACAGAACAATTCAGAAGAGAGGCAGCACAGGAGATCTTTTGCCCTTATTTTTCCTCTCACTGTCAAAATAATTCCTTACTGATCCCTGCTTTAAAACAAGTCAATTTTTTTAATGGTTAACCTTATTTACTTCTTAAAAATGGAAAACTAAAAAACCCCACAGCTTCTCTACAGAAGATCGAATGGCGCTTAGCAGAACTGAAACTGTATGACACACACACACTGCAGAAAAAGGAAAAATAATTAAAGAATAGCATCAGCTATATCCAGGTACCGCAGTTTGGACGTTTCATGGCCATCTATGGCCTGACCTGCTCAGCGTGGTCCTGGGGCTGTACTTCAGCATCCAAGAGATGTCTGCTTTGGAAGGATGAGCGGACGGTTCGGTTCATTAATGGCTGAAGAGGACGAAAGTTGTCCACCATTCTCTTCTCTTCTTCACCATCTGAAGTGAAGAGCAGCATCCGAAATGCCTCCAGCTGAGAATGAGAAATGTCAAATTTTGTGACCTTACTAACTGGAGAATTAGTGGAGTTAATGACAAAACACAATCATTCATGCTTGGAAAAAAAACCCAGTAAGATCAAAGTACTATTAGATTTGCATTCTGAGACAGTTTAGCATGAATTTCTGGCACTTCTTTGTCACCTGCTGGTAAAGATTACACCATCAGCCATATCAAGGCAGAAAATGAATTGTCAGTCATCTGCCATCTTTAGGGGAACTAAATCTCAAATGTGACATATCTGAGACAGAACTGATTCCCATTCAAACACTAGAACAGATGCGATCTTTAAATAAGTCTCTCCAACCTCCTTCACTTACACCCTTCCTGGATCTGTTATCTTATACAGACAGGAATATGCTGGCACCCAGCAAAGAGGGAACCTCAACAAGCAACAGGCTACAGAGTTGTTGCTGTCAGTGGTTTGTAACTGGGGATTAAAATAAAGCGTGCAGCAGATCAGCTTGTAATGCTCACAAGGGCATTACAATGTTAAGTAAATGATAAGCCTTTCTATGGCATAAAAGAGTAAGAATGAAGAAAAGCAAGAGGACAAAAAAGTATAAAAAATTTCACTTGAAAAGAATGACACGTTACACATTTGGTTCTCTGCTCTGTTAACAGTCTTCAGTTCTTCCCATCTTGTTCCCTTACATAAACTAAAACATTAAGATCACTAACATGCCTGTTCTTCAGAGTCAGTGTTTCTTTGGACCATGGCTTTCTAGACTGACTAGCTCCATGCAAAAGTTGCACCTAAAAACAAAAAGACCCAGTATTTTGCCTGAAGTCATTGGAATTACAGTTCATTATTAATCAAAGCCTCAAAAAACAGGGACAATGCACAGAAATTTCAGTGCCTCTTAAACCATGGAAATAATGGTAGGTTTTTTTGTTGTTGTTCATTTTTACTTGCTTTGCAATGATCTCTGAGATTTGTTTTATCCTGTAATTGCTCTCAAAGTGCTCCACTTCAAATTGACACAAAAATCCTGAACACTTCCAACAAAAACCACAACCATAGTACAATTCCAGTGAGTCATCCTGTAATTGCTCTCAAAGTGCTCCACTTCGAATAGACACAAAAATCCTGAAAACTTCCAACAAAAACCATAACCATAGTACAATTCCAATGAGTGCTCCTGATCACTTTCTACTTGTCCCTACATGTACCAAGGAATAACATCACATTGAAACACCAAGAACTAAAATTAAAAGCAGTAGAGGGCATATGGTGACAAGTGTGGGTTGGTGCCAGACCACAAACTCCTCCACTTGAAATAACTTCTGTAATACAAACAGTTGCTGAAACCTTTGTTTGTTTGTCCTTTTTAAAGGGGGATTTTAAAAAAGGGAATTCAAGAACAGCACAGCCAAATACAGAGATAAAAACTCTACTGGAGAGCTGGAGAAGCATCTTTAACTGCCTACTGAAGAGTTCTTAAGTCTTCCAGAATTTTTCAGGATACCCCCCCGAACAAAAACAGAGTGTGAAGCAGTCACTGTGAATACACAGAGAATTTATTGGTAAGCAACTACGTCTGTGCATCTTCCTCTGCATGGCAGCAGCCAAACAGGTATGGTTTGATTTGAAATGTAAGCATGAGATTTACCTGATTCTCATCCACCTCTATTGGCTTCTTCTTAATAATCCACGTGACCGATTCGGTAAGTGGAGGAGTAGTCAAAGAGCCCGCGTAGGTCCAATAATCAGGGCACGAAGGTATCAAACAGGAGGGATCAAAGACATCAAACTCGATAACAGTGTCCTAAATCCCAGAAAGAATTTCTTTTTTAAAACTGCATTTTGAAAAAAGCCCAACAGATTTAAAAATATCTTAGCAATGAAATCAACTACTGTATGTGTTACATATGCATATGCAGAGTTAGGTATTGTGAATATTGAGCTACATAAAACAATTAAAAACCCCATAAGGTGGGTTTGAAGCATAAGAAACAGCTGGTGCTTACACAAAATTTAAGTATTTCTGTTGTCCGCACAAGCCATTAGGAATTCAGTGCAGAAGAAACAAAGAGTGCAAAGGTGCAACAGACAATGTCTTTGTGGAAGCTAGAAGCCAACAGGAAAAAGAAAGAATAAATGGTACAGTAAGTTGAGGTAGTTCTGCCAGATATACTTAACAGACTGCAAACAAGTGCTTTTACTTTTCATGATGTGATTTAAGGCAGCAGGGAGAGGGAAGAGGACTAAATTCTTCTTTAAATCATATCAAGTATTTATGTCTCCAGAATGTGCACTCACACAAGTGAGATACCAGACAGCACACAGGAGCTTCAGAGCCCGTGATTTCTTGCACAGGCATTTTACTCCTGGGGTGTTTCCAGGATATACTGGCAACGCAGGAAAGGAAAATCCTGTTTTTCCTCATATAGACTTCACCGATTTCCCCACCAAGAAGGAGAAATATTACAGTGAAGAATTTTTCAAAACCAGGGAATTCTAGATGGGAGCTTCTACACATCATGTGAGAGAGGAAGGTGCAAGGCCATCAGAATCGGGTCTTTTTGGCACTGAACTGACTTGTCTGGCATTTATCTAGCAGCATTTTCACTGCACTGCCATAAATATTGGTAATAAATAATGGCACAGCAACTTCAACTGGATGGTGCTTACAAGCCAGCCAAATTCTTGATGTGTTTTTTGTGTGTCCTTTCCAAAAGGAACAGGCACCTGGAGGAGCGTGAGCTGCTCATGAACACTGTCAGACGCAGCACTCCCTCTCCTGGCAGAAGTCAGAAATCAGCTGTGAAGAAATTCCCCTTCCTAGTGGGAATTTACAGTGTTGATTAAAAAAAAAAAGGCAAAAACTAATCTCCTCCTCAAAGATCAAAGTCAGAAAGGAAGAGGACGTTAATTAGTGTTTTGCTACTCTCATAGTATTCTTTATGTTGAATGACTGCATTAGCTATGCTGAGTGATGACTGGTAGGACACTTAAAAATACTTACCTTGTGTTTAACCGCTGGCAAGGCATCCACCAGGGTCTGCAGCCCTTCGTGCTGTGCTCCTAGCTGCAGAAAACAGGTAGGAGTTAGAGAATCATGAAGCTGAAATTCCATATATCTACCTTAATCAGTATTTTTTTGAAAATTACAACAACAAAATTCTAGAGGTATTTTGTCCTAAGTTGGTTTTAACAAAATGAAAAGAAAAAGGCATCATTGCAGCTTGTTAGCCAAAGTGAATTTACCTTTAAAAACACTCCAATAACAGCCAAGCCGTTACCTTCCATTACAGCTTCTTCAAAAGTTGGGTACTCAACGGCATTCCAGTGTACTAAATGCAACTGAGACAGAAATGAATGAGAAATCAACACATGCACAGAGCACAGCAATGATGTGAAGAAACTTGACTACCTTTGGCCCTTGGCAATTTGAGACACTGCAGAGAGCTACCTCAGAAATCACACCCCCACAGAAAAGAGGACCAAAATATGATTGGAAAATAATGCCACTTCCCTTCTTATTTTTTGCTTTTTTAGTAAACAATAGCCAAAGATCCATCAACTGCACTTCACACATATTAAAGGGATTTTGTGCATGGGAGGCTGATTACAGGAATGCCAGTTAAAGGCACAAAAAAGCTTTGTATGCTTTGAACTGATGGACTCCTTCATCTCTTAACAGGAAGAACAGAGCACGACGTTCTGCTAAGGAACATTCTCCTGCACAGAACATGAGCTTCCTCTGCACTGCCTATGGTCCAACACAAGCATTCCACTGAGGGGACTTGTGTGTCAAATATATTGCCAGCACCAGGCCCAAAACTTAGTCATGCACTCTTGCTGTTAATAAATATCTTGCCAAGCTGACAGGCATCCTTATAAACACATTAACAGGAGATCAACTTCTTCTCAAAAATAAGCAATAATAACTTCTCAAATTCTCCATCTTTGACATATAACTATGTTTATAGCTGTCATACTTTCCTCTCTGAGCAACTTAATCTGTGTTTTTCCCATCCTTTTTTATTTACTCTTTCTGCTTTAGTTGCTACTTAATCACAAAAGTTTCGCTACTTCAATAATTGCTTAAAAGTTGAAAACAGAAAATAAAGTCATCATGATAACCACTATGTTACCATAGCACTCTGCTGCACGTTATTGTAATGACTTTAAGAAACACACACAAAATTGTTGATAACTGGAATAAACTTTCTAACATTAGCCAATGCTCTGGGGTCACATACACAAGATGATTATTGTATACAAAGTAAGCAGGACCAGGCTTCTTGAGTTACAGGTATGGGTGTGAGAATTAAATAACCTTCAGTTTTCTCTTTAAATACTTTTCAAAGAGTATTTAGTATGTGCTTTGTTTCTCTGCAAGCATTTAGTAATAAACAAAGTGATTTTAAAGCAGTAAGGATAGGGAGATTTAGAGGTCTACTAGAGACAGCAGCTGCATTCACCCTGCTCTCAAGAAAACAGATTCTACACCTCATGTGAACCCTAAAGCACTTAAATTTTTTTAATTTATATTTGAGCTTGCACATTTCCATTAGTATTTGCTGTCCTCCTGATCTGCACCACATTAGTACCATTCATTAAGACCTGATCGTGCCCTCAGTCTCACCCTTTTCCCCTTTAAAAGGGCGAAGGACGAGCAGCGTTGTACCACTCCAGGCAGACAGAGCTGGAATAGCAATGACACTCTGCTGCCTGCCATTGGCTTGTCCAGCAGCTGCCCCCGGGGACATTCAGGGAGAAGAAAATTTTAAGACTGCTCTCCAGAAAACACAGCGGATATGAACTTACTATTAATAAGGTAGAAGAGCTGTGGCACCTACCAGGTCTGATCCTTAACAGTAAGCTGCAATTCCTCAAATTGGGAGTTTTCTAGCATGCAGCATAGTCACAGCCAGCCTGACACCCAGCCTCCAGCCCCCACAGGTATTTGCATCGTTCAGCATTTTATCTCATACCTCTGCTGGGTAAAATTTACTGTTGACCGTGTGCTCTGAACCCCACTCATTTATAGCTCCCCAGTGGAAGTGGAACTGCTTTAGCCTGTATTGGTTTTCCAAGGGACCTCCAACGATTACTAAAAAAAAAAAACCAAACCAAACCAAGACACACGTATTAATAAACATATTTTATGATTGTCCAGACAAGTAACACAGCAGTATCTTCCTTGAAATAACTTTGTGCACGGAAGAAATCTGCTGGAGTAACTATTTCACTGAAATAGTCCCCTATTGCTTGGCTACTTTTACAATATACTTTGCTATGACAAAATTGTTCAAGCAAACACATCACTGTTTCTCTCTGCAGTCTGAATCAGTTACATCAAATTGCAGATGATAAGCTAAATAGTCTCCTCATCCATCCCCACTCAAGGGAATTTGTTTTCCAATGCACATCAGGTTTGGCAGAGTCCTGGTGGTTACATTACGTTCTATGCTTTTCTCTTTGAGCAGCCATATGAGAACTGCCTTACCAGAAGAAACATGTATGAATCTATTAAATGACATCCCCGTGAAGCCTCAGTATCTATGGAAAATATTGACATTCCTCATGACAATACAAGACTTTAAAAATCCAATTTTGCCAGAAAAATCAGTACATTCTGCTGTTTTTTCAAGTTACAAAAATCCAAACATGCGATTCTGCTTCAACCACATAATCAATGTCAAAAGATTTCCTGCACAGCCAGAAATATGCTAATACTGCACCTACTGTCAACTGTTCAAGCTACACTCCACAAAACATCAAAAATTCAGTCTGCCTACGGGCAAGATTCTGAGTTTCTGGATGCTTTAATGCACTTTTTAGCCATGAGTAAAGGTAAACATTCAGACTGCTCTCCTGATTTCAGCGTTTTTTCCTCTCATCAGTTTCCAAAGACATGAATTAAAAAGTCTATGTCTAGTTTTCTGTGTACTGTTGAGTTTTACTCATTTCCTCCTAATTGTACCAGAAACATCCTGCAAAGTCTTCTTGCTAGTCATGACATCACAGCATCTGGTAAATTAGAGACCGTAATTAGTTCCAAAGGGCTAACAACAAACATGGAGCTGTAGAGACCCATTTGCTGCTTCTACTGTACATCATGGTTAAATTTTATAGCAACCCACTGTCTGAAGGACATAATCCCAACTCTGATTTGGAAAAGAAGTTAAACACTTTAAAGCTAAGGAGAAAACAATGAGAGGCATTAAGAGCTTTTCTTGTCTTTTTTTTGTTGTTTTTCCTGAAAGCCAGCCAGTGGTTTTGAAATGCTAACTAGATAGACCTGCTTGTGATAAAAGAGTAAACTGAAACAAGCTATGCAAATTGACTTTTAATTAATTTCATCCACTGCTGCTGACCTCTTAGCATAAATGCCATACTGACCATCACTAAAAAAAGTCATGATGGTGAAAGACAGCTTTCAGGGATGGGATGAAGACGCAGCCCACACTGCCAAGTCTTTCAGAATTAAAGTTTCCATGCTCTAACACCTTCTATTCCTGATTATGTAGTGATGCAAACCTACAGGAGACTAAATTCATGTCAGTAATCACATTCACATGAATGTTTATGAGTAAAGTTACGCACAGGCACACACATGTAGCAAATCAGGTTTCTATACTGGACTCTAGAAAGTGACAGGAAACAAAGAGAAACTCACAGTCCCTTTACGAGCATTTATTCCATTTCATTTCCTCTCAGTTCACCGGTCTTGATAATTTCCAAACAAAACAAAACAGAACTTTAAAGGAACTCTAACAACAAGAAGGACCAAGAATCCCAACAGCTTTTTACTGCAGCCCTGGTTCTGTTTCAGCCTCATTTCCTTGCAGCAGGTGGCATTCACACACACAGGACCACATTCTGTACATACCTTCCCCACACCCTCTTTCTTCTTCAGCCTCCTGCTCTGCTCATAAGCAAACACCCCATGGCAGCACTACCTTCATCTTTTCAGGAGTTGGGCATTTTTGTCTATCCTGGATGCACGTTTCTTTTTGTCTCTTTCATCTTCTGTTTCAATTTTGTAGCTTTTTTTTGTTTGTTTGTTTATTCATAAGCTTCCTTCTCTGGATTTCTAGCATTGTTAGACAGAAGCTGGCAGGAAGAAAAATCAGAAATAGCAACAGTAAAGAGAGAAAGGTGGAGGAGAGAGGCAGGCACTTGAAAATCTGGCCATTTACACGGCAACACCCCACGATCTGTTGTTTCTCTGTCATTTTGGAGTCCTGTCACTGATCGTTCAATGCCATCCTCACCCTTCATTGACTTTAATTCATTTGAGAAAGATGATGATGATGAAAAGGCAACCATGCAGGAAGAGGCAGCAAGAATGCTCACACTTAAAGATTTATCTCAAGTGTTCAGTCTTACAGATGGAGCGGATCTTTCAGAGCTGTGATGTGCTCTGAATATCCAGCCTCTGCAAGGCTAGCACCTCTCTAATTGACAGTCCCAAGGATTCCTCTGTGTCACAAAAACTGTCCTTGCGTATTGAAATATCGCACATTTCTTAACCTTCTACAGGCAATTTCCTTCCTTCACATCAATTCTTGCAGAAAAAAAAGGCTTTGTTATCCATCAAACTGCAAACCATTACACTTGACAGGAACACATCCTCAACAGATAGCAGGATGTGGCTGTATAAAGCAAAAGACTGATAAATTAAAAGCAAAACTGATCTGAAGTTAGTAAGTTAAAACCATTGATGAGCTAACAAGTGATGTCTCGGGCTCTCCTCTAACCCCAGCTAACGCAATAGCAGTTTAAAAGAGAAGGGCACTACTTGGTTTCTTCATTTCATATCAGAGCACTCGAATGAAGAAAGGCAAGAATATTCCCTGGTTCAAAACTAATACTCTGGTGAATAGCTATAAGCGAAACCAAGAAAACCCCACACCCAAAGCTCCTGAATGGCATTCCACCACCACCACCATTTTTGCTGCATTGTTTTTTCAGCCTCTTTCCAAACATCAACCAAAAATACCGGTACCTCAGAGACAAAGCACTTGTTTAGTAGCATGGTAAAAGCTTCCTTCCCAAAAGCATTACTAAATCCTTTACGAAGTTCTAGCACCTCTCATGGTAAGTAGTCACCTTCAACCTAAATAACTCTGATCAAACGGGTTCGAACTTGCCCAGGGTCCCTCAGCTTTTCTCTCCCGAACAAGCTGAGTAATCGACCTGAATCATGTGCTTCACAACATCCCTGACCAACTGCTACCAGTCCACCCACCTTTACGAAATACCTTCTTTACACATAGAGCAATATCCTTCAGTGAAGCCAACTTTTAAAAGGAACAATGGACAGAAAATCTGGAATTTGGTAGCAAAATCTTGATTTTTTAAGTTACTTGACTCTATTGAGCATTTAAGAAAAGGTTTAGCTCCTCAGGTCAGAGTGCTTATTCACGTTAAATTGTTGGAATGCATAATTGGATTTTGCACACACAGACTCCTGCTTGCACTAAAACAACAGGAACACACACACCTGCTCCCTGTGGTAGCAGCTCGGTATTATTTAATTCTCCAAAAGCTTATCGAGATAAGTATGTATGCTTTCCAACTGAAAGTAATTTTGCTGCTGATTATTTCAAATGCATTAAATATATCTGTTAACACCACGAAAGAGATAAGTGGCAGATTACCTTATTAAAGTGTAATGATGGAATCTCATTTAAAATTAAGTAGATACAGAGATATATGACTGAAGATTGACTCAGGCAGACAAAGCTGTGATATTGCAAGACCTAATCAAAAGGCAGGGCATTAAGGCTTGTGCACTAATTTTCAACCTACAACAGAGGGTCTGTGCACAATGTCCACGGTAATAAATACATAGTAAAGGTGAGAACTTCTACATCACAATTCCCATCACTGTAAGTCCACATTTAGCTAAAGCATTTTTCTACTGTACATTCATTTTCAACTTCTGTGTTGTTATTGAACTGAGGTATTACAGCATGCAAGTATTTCTCCCCTCTAAGCATTAATAAGACATTACACAGATTTTTCTGAGTTTTGCTTACTTGATCTATCAGTAGAATCATCAAACTCAACCAGGAACGAATATCCATTGTTCCAGATGTGAAGACACGTCGTTGGGTCGTAGCTGATTTTCAGAGGCTTCAGAAAGGGGTCATAAATGCTGTCTCTCCACTGGATATTGATAGGAGACTGTCGGGTGCCCCCAGGAATTGTAATTGGACTTTGCCAAAGTGGATGCACTGGAAGATGATGAAGAGAGTCAAGCTCTAACGCACGACACAGAACTTCCAGTTGAATACTTCAGAACTTTTTGGCAAGAGAAGATGCTTTGGCATATTGGCTGCAAAAGCTAATTCAAGTCAGCTGATGCACAGGAAAGTAAAAAAAATAATAATACATTCCAGTTGCATGACTCAGGGCTACACAGGGAAGTGCAGCAATTTGACTTACAACTGTGCTGGTACCTTTCTGCATTTGCAAAATGCTCCTCAAAGAAATTCTGGCCCCTTATTAGTCAGAAAATTGTTTTATTTTTATTGCCAGATGATTTTATGGTGGCTTTCGTTTTACAGCTTTGCCAAGAGTCTCACCACACCACGTCAGCTCTCCATACACACCAGGACCATCAACTGACGTCAGATTGCACCAGACACAGGATAACTCCCACTACAAGGCAAAAATATTCTCTTGACGGTGCCAGTCTTCCGCCTACGTGTGCTCAGGGGTTACACCACTGTGTATTGCTCCTCAAACACCCATAGCAACATTGACCAAGACAACTTCATGCAGCTGGGGACCTACAGCTGATCCCCACACCTGTAAAATCCTAAATTACCAATTTTGGGGGCAGCTTGGGTACCTCAAACTGGCACAAACAGGGCAGATAAAGACAAATACAGTTTCCACAGGATTTTATTCTGTTTAAAACCAGAACTGAGACCTGCATGGACTTGGGGAGTACTTGTTCATCTGTTGTCCCCGACATCAGCAACTCACAGACAAAGGTTGTTTGTGCTTTGTCCATCCACTGAACCCAAAACTGAGGGGCTCTGAAGCACTGTGTTACCAGCTACTTCATTAGATACAAATGCTTGTGGTCTTTCATAAGGTGAAAGAAAAAATAAATGTAAATCCTTTAACAAACCACTCGAGTGCTTGGCTAAACAATCTTCCCCCTCGGTTCCCTCAGCAAGGAGCAAACTTTATCAGCCTGCACAAGATCACCTCACACAGGTAACGCAGAGGCAGGCGTGCAAAATATTCTCCAAAAGTGCCACCGCTCTCTTATTGTTAGTGCCATTTCCTGATGTTTCAGTGGAGGAAGTGTCATGGACAAAACCAGGCTGAACTTGGCATCCCCGCCTCCTCTACACAAACTTTGGAGGCACCAGCAGTCCCCTCGGCCTGGGGGGTGCGGGAAGCGATGGAGGGGCATGGGCGTCGACCGTGCCGAGGCTCCTCAGCCGGGCACTGGGCGGGCTGGGGGACGATGAAGCAGCCGGGTGGGGAGAGCGAGAGGGGCGAGGGGCTTAGACCTGCTCTCCTCAGGCGGCGGGAACTGCTCGCTTCGAGGGATAAGGAGCAGCCCCAGCCTGAGGGAGCGCGTCCCCGGGCGGCCCCCCTGAGGGACGCGGGGCTCCCCC